AACGTAGTTTCATGTTACAAGTTGAAGTCATTCTAGAAAGAAAATAAATGGTACTTTAGATTTTTCTTGGTGGTTATGAGGTCGTGCATATTGACCAACCATGTATAGAGATAGGGTAGAGAAAATAACAGATAAAATATAAAGTTTTACTGGAAATAAACATTTGAAGTGTATTAGGAGGTTTTAGAGATTACATAAATTATATTTGAGATTTTTGGGATGAGGAATAGTTTTTTAATCATAACATGAAAGTCATTTTTCACTCGGACTAGTAATGAAACAGATTTGATATATTCACAAATAAATCTTTAGTAAAAATACTTCATTAAAAAATTTGATTTTTTGTGTGTAAAAGAGTTGTGATGTTTACTAAATGTCTACAAAATTTTGTAAAGATAAACATACTGTAAATGTGTATACGAACCCGTGTATTTTATAGTGTGCCCGTCGTGAAAGGGTTAATTTAGTGGATAGGACTGCCTAGATAGACCAAAAGGTCCCTTGTTGCCCTTTAATATTATGTTATTGTTCAGGGTTTATCCTTTAAAACTACAAAATTATATTCTGTAGAAAAGTTTGCTGAAGTCTAATAATAAAGATGGTTGATAAAACACAAAACATTTTGTATACAATGTTTGAACATTTCGAAATACACTTATTCCAAAATCTGAAAATTGTGTTATAAAGATATCTATTAAGTACAACTATAGTCTCATTAATCACTAGTTTATTTAGTCATTAATTAAAGTGGAAAATGGAAGAATGAAACAAAAACCAAATATTATAGATATATTGTAAAACAGTTGAGTTTGAAGTATATAAATTAGAATAATTTTCGACCTAATGTAAGTCATTAAGAGTAGAGCAGTCTTTAGCTATGAGTAAAGTTTTTAAATATTGAGTTCAAGGTCTGAAGATCCTGTAGTAATGACAGGGAAATCATTAAATGAAATATTGTGACCCGTGGTTTCGACATGTGAACGATTGAATGAGTGGCTGGGTTTATATAGTGGATGGTCAGCTCTGTTAGAAACTCCTAAATGTTCACAGATTAGTTTTCAAATAGCATTTAGTTTTGCCATTGTATGCGATTTTACAGTCACTACATGAACATAGAAGTTTAGATGATTGTTCATTATATTGAAATTAGTATAAAAGTCCGTCAAATATGACGGAAAACTAAAGCCTACCAAATTTGAGTCCTCCACTACGCATTTGCAACTTTGTCACCTGTAAACAGACATAAGAAAAATGATAAAAAGCCTTCTAACTTTTGGAGCCTATCATGAGAAATATCTTCTCTACCTAAAGAGTGTTTCTTCCCAGCATTAATCCTTGTCCCAGCTTTCATTAATCCCAGTTATTTTCTAATCACATCAATTACATTATTGCAATAGTTCTAGTAAACCCACCTTTCTTGTAAATACTCGACCGTTGTTCAAACACTTCTCTTCATAACAAACGGCAAATTAAGTTCATTCTGTGCTAAATAAATCTTTGGGATAAAAACTTCCTCCTTGACAGTCTTTTATACAGCAGAAAAATTGATGAAATTTAGGAGCTATTTATGCCTATGTTAGCAATTGAAATCAACTAAAATGGGAATGGGCAATGAAAAGGGGAAGTATTATAGGAGAAAAACTGGAATTAGACTCGTGTAACCCACGAAATTCAGAGAGATTGAGCATGACTGACAAACCGACCAACACTTGGCTTTAATGATTATGATAAGTGTTTATTGAGAAGGCTAGGTCTGTATGTTAGTCTAAGCTGAATTTTAGGGTAAACGTTTTTTATTAAAGAGGAGAGTTGTTTTTTAATTTGTCACATTTGTGAACTTGTAAAAAAGGGAGATAATGGGGGAAATTTGGGGATGGTGTGCACATTGGCTGGTGGTTGGAATTTGTTCTTTAGGAAATTATATGTAATATTTGTTAGAAAATCAGTCAGCCATTATTTAACAGGTGTTTGGGCAGAAGTGTTATTTCTCTGTTTAAAATAGAATAATTTGAGCAAAGATTAAAAATTCTGGCAGGATTATTAGTTAAGACACAGTTCAAAAGGCAGTAAATCAATAAAATTAAGTATAATTAGATGTTATAAGCTTTAAGCTATTTTGGAAAATCAATTGTAGTTTCCTGTTACAATTTTGCAGTCATTCCAGAAAGATAAAAAGGTAATTAAGAATTATTTCCTATTTTTTTATGATGATTACAAGGTCAATCAAATCAATTGACCCTGTATAGTTATAGTGTAGAAAATAACTGATAAAATATAAAGTTTCTGTGAAAAGAAACATGTGACATTTACTTAGGATGTCTTGGGGATTATGCAAATATGATTTGAAAGTTTTCAGATGAAGAAAAGTATTTTTAATCTTAACATGAAAATCACTGTACTTGGAGTAGTCAACACTATCACTGTACTTGGAGTAGTCAACACTATCACTGTACTTGGAGTAGTCAACACTATCACTGTACTTGGAGTAGTCAACACTATCACTGTACTTGGAGTGGTCAACACTATCACTGTACTTGGAGTAGCCAACACTATCACTGTACTTGGAGCAGTCAACATTAATACCATATAATTATGGAAAATATTTTAGTAAAATTCTGATGTTTTGTTCGTAAAAGACTTTTAATGTTTACTGAAAGCTTGAAGATATCTTCAGAGTTACAGTATGTACACCATCATGGTTACAAGGTCATGTAAAATACATGAGCTCATTGCAATAGGGTCAGGAACGTCGAGAGCCAGCACCGGCCCTGGAGCAAACATCCTCGCTGGGCCCCCTTTCTCTCTCTTTTTTAATATTTTCAAGAATTTATTAAAAACAAGATCCTAAATTAGGACAGTAACGAGCTCATAAACCAGACAAAATCATAGCAGCAGCTGTTTTTACCTCACGGTATAAGCGTAAAAACGTTAATAAAGTAACAACAAATAACTCTTAAATCTATAAAGTAACAAATACATATTAATTATTACTCAAATTATCATTTTAGTCGTTCTTAATGTATCAAGCATCTATATGCATAGAAAAGTAAAAAACTATGGTTTTATTCATTAAATGAAGATATAGCCTAAAGATGCTTTGTGGGTTTTTCGGCATAACCAGGTTTCATTTGCCCAGGCCCCTGGGCAGTTGCCCCCTTTACCCCACTGTCAGTGGGCCTGAGTAGGGTTAAACTGTAACTGTCACATAGTTTGATCACAGCAAATAAGGCTAAATACTCAATTCAGGTTTTATGTTTTGCTCTATATTTTATCCATCTAGCTTTAACTTTTTGGATAGTTAACAAAGCAACAAAAAACCCTGATTGTTCCAATTCCCATTTTTGTTTTTTAATTCATTACTAAGGATGGATTCTTAATGGATGCTGTCAGTTTTTAAAGTTCAGAATCTATTTTAAATATTTTGTATTGAAATACAGGAAAATACAGCCCTAAAATTACTATAATAAAAATTATTTTTCACTAAATACAGGAAAGTTCACTTTCATTTTAGTAAAAAGTGTTATCTCAGAATTTTTCTTATTTATCATAAGCCGTGTTGATGTTGTTCGAAAGTATTATAATATTGTGATGCTGCTTGTATTCACATATGTCTTAGTGTTTGTTGATAAGTGGTATTTAGAACTGTTAATATAAGTGAAAACTCATTTCACACAATGAGGATTCCTGTAACACCTATGATTAGTTTATTGCACTTTAAAACAGTTTTTTACTAGTATGAGTTGAGACCTGAAGATTATGTGTGTTTTATGTAAGTAATTTTCATCCCAACATTGTTAATAAGGAGACTTAAAAGAGTCAGGGACCATTTTGATCAAAATAAAATTAATCCACTATTAAGTAAATACAATTCAGTGATACAACATATAATAGAGTGCTTTATCATAATTGTTTATATCTTTATTTTTAATTGTTTCTTGTGCATACTTATTTTCAGGTATTCGAAAGGACAACCATCTGTTCTCTTGGAACAAGGTGGTGATAATAATCACCAGCCACCACCACCACTAGTAAGAATTATCTTTTGTGCAAGTAATAACTGATATGGTTGGGTAATGCTGCCATTAAAATATCATGGTTTACATAGAAATATTTAATGCCGAATACTATGCTTTAGAAACTTAGCCATAACTATTAATAGTAAGCTTAATTAAACAGTGATTTATTATTTTTGTAAGTAGGTTATTCAAAGCTGTAATGTAAAAAAGAAATAGTTATGTATTGAACTATATAATTGTTACCTCATTTTTTATACTTTGTTCATATGGACAGCATAGTCTTCTAGTTTAAAGTCACATTTTTAATCACAAACAAAATATGTCTTGTGATTGCAAACTTAATTTAGTTTTACAATAAATGTAATGTAAATATCAAGAGTTTTATGATGAAACATATAATTGTGTCATAGTGTACTTGCATCAATGATCACAATATAATCTTGATACTATTGTGTGTGAATACTGATCTAGGATCAGACATGCAGCTTTGATAACATGTGTCAATACTGATCTAGGATCAGACATGCAGCTT